CATTTTTAATGGTACTAGTTTCAAAGTTTTTTTTCTAGCTGTTCCGTTGTCATGTTTTGTTCTCAGGCCCCAGTAATTAGGAGTGGGAGTGTAATGACTTTTGACCTCGACAAATGAATGCTGTAAGCAGATTTAATACCCTCACTTGCCTCTGTTAAAAGTGAAATTATATCAAATAATATTCATTTTAATGTGTTAAAACTTCTCCCGCACTGAAAATTTAATGTGTCATGCTTTCATTCATTTTCATCTGATCTCTCCGAAGAGTTTTTATAATCACGAGCCAGTTTGTGAATTGAAAGGTCTGTAATATAACTTATCATGGAATGTAGTAATTCAAATTCTTTCACCATTTTATTTCAGTATCATTAGAAATATTATGGAAACTAACCCTCATCTCGTTTAGATTTTAAAATTTGATAAAACAACTGAAAATAACACATTTTAACGAAAAACCGATATTTTTGTTACGCAACGCGGTGACGGATTTTGACAAGCGGCATGTCGTCTGACTCGGTTTTTAGCGTAGATCACGTCTTTGATAACGGCCTTTGTCTGCGATTGATAGTTTGAGCCACAGGCTAAATGTGTAACGTCTTGGCCCGATGACCCATAAGAAACTAATGTTAATTTTGAACCCACTTCGGGAGGGTCAAACATTCTCCGATCTGGCTGAATTTTTTTTGAGAGCGTTTTTTATGGATTGGCACGAAATGGGCAATGTGAACTTAAACATTTTAACAAAACGTTTTTCTTGGTCTACTCTACCCTAGCTTGCAAGGCAAATAGGGGTATTTTCGGAATCAGGGCGGCGAGTTTAGTCGAATGGGACATGTTCCGACCCATTTCGAGCAATTTAGTGATGCTGCACTTGGGCAGGGCCTACTTGGGGGCCAAAATCACCGATGTGTATCGCTTCTTTTCCTGTTGTTCTAGCCTGGTTTGAGCTGCGTCGCTGTCCCGAGAGACCTTGACCTCAGCCATTGGTCCTATCAGTCAGATTCGTTGCCCACCATTCTTGCCGCTCCATTCGAGTCGAACGCATCGGCGGCGCTCTGCACGAGAACTGACTTGTGCTCCCTTCCTCGCCACAAGGTAAAGTTTGACACAACTTTCTTCCAAATGACAACATGAATAGATAATACACAGCAGAAGCTTGAGTATATAAGATGAATCAATAGTGCCGGAAACAGCCCATATAACTTACTAAATGTTGAAGTATGCACAATGCGTTATTCAACAAAACATAAGCATCAGGATATAGTTGAAGTCAGTCAAATCTACCTATTTTGTCCACTGTTGATGCTGTTTCCGGTGATATGGGTTCTTTACCTTCTTTACTTTTGATGGACACTGATTGAAAATTTTTACAACGCTTGTGGTAAAAAGTTTGATCGTGACACACAAGTAGGTATTCACTCTGGTAATTGTCGGTTTTGCGAACTATAATTGATCTGTAACATTTCTGTAATGTAATAGGCAATATGAGCTGTGATTAGGCAAAATCAGCAATGTTTGTAAAAGGTATTTGGTTCTCTGCGCATAACAAAACTGCTCCAGTTTCATAGTTATTCAATGGTTCTGGTTCTAAGTTACTGAAAATCCTGCCCCATACACTGTTAAAATTAGATGAAGAATCACGACATTTCCTAGAACAATATAGTCGTTCCCGAGAATTTTCCATAACGACTATTTCGTCGTTAATTTTTAAAACTGCTCTTTTCGTTTTAAAACAACCATAGTCGTCAATTTATGAATTTCATCGCAGTTAAACAAACGACTAAGATGCAAACAGTTACGACTTAGATAGTTAATTTACGACTTCGAGCACAAATTCACGACTTTGATCGCAAATGTACAAGGTCGTAAACTTACGACAAAAATAGTAAAATTGCGACAACTGAAGTAAATTTCTGACTAAAGGTAACGTTTCATAAACATCATGGGAAGGTGCTCATTTACCAGGCGACACAGTTGCCCTCCTAAGACTGGAGCAGGCACCATTGTCGCCCAGTTTCTGGGCACCCCGAAATAAGAGGGTACCTGCTCAGGACTGGATGTCGAGGCCCATGCTCGCAGACTGCTCGATTTTGCCCGGTCCCGTCCGAGTCTCGGGATTTCCTCCTCAAAATACGATTTGTTTGTACAAACTGTACAGTGTACGGGGGAAGACCTTGAGGGAATTCCCGGCCCGGGCACCCGAGTGGCCCAGACCGCCGCCGCTGATAAGGAGACATTGCGCTGCGACTCGTTCGCAGTCACTGTCATACACCGTGTTCGCAATCTAACGCATGTGGCCGTGTCATCTTTTTCGTTCAGAGCTATACTGTGGTGCATGTGAAGTTGTCGCATGTTCAGTAAGGTGAAGAAACAGTCAAAGCACAATTTGGCAATGTGATATCGCCAGAAAAGTCCATACTTTAGCGACAATAAGGGAAAAACACTGTGCATTTTTACCCTCCACGTGGCTGATAAATGCACAGCGGCGGGTAGGCCTAAAAGTTGCACAGTCTCTTTTAGTGCACTTTTAGCCCTTCAAAGAGAAAAATATGTACACGAGGCGATGACTGCAATGATTTTGGGCTTCTCTGATTTTCTCCGACTTTCTCCAATTTTCTCCGATTTTTGTAAAAATCGGTAAGATTTGGTCGATTTGGTGATATCACTTAACGTTTGGGCCAGTTTGAACCTGTTTGGCACCGGATAACACGTCGGACAGCCTAGGAAAGGCATTATTTGTCGATGATTTGGCACTTCTGGACCTTCTAGGAGAGAGGGAGCCGGGTGCAGTGTTGCGCGGCTGGTTCGAAAAGAGCCTCTAGACATTAACTATTGATTTGCAACCGTTTCGCACAAGATTTGCACATTGATACTCCACGAAATGCTCAGATTTGTACTGCATTAGGCACTTCTGGTACCTTCTAGGAGAAGTGGATCTAAAAAACGATGACGCGCACACGGGATTTTCGGGGACTTTCAGTATGATATTAAGGACACTTTTAGGGACACGTGTGAAAATTTATAGCTCAATTCTATTTTTTTTTTCCAGGTCAAAACCTAGAACTCCTGTGCTAGTTAGCGTTATCCCCATCATGAAACGTCGTATAATATTTTTTTTGTAACTGCCACCGACGATAAAATTTTTGCACCTTTTGAGCGAATTTGCGAAGGCGTAAGGGCCTGTCCGCTCCCAATACTTTTAACTAAATGCATGGGAGAATTTCTCCTGTACGCTTTATTTCAAGCTTAACGTCTTCAATCGTATCTGTACGCTTCATTGAAGCGTACACTTACGCCTTAAGGCTAATAAGCTCTACCTGTGTGTTCGCAATAGGAGAACCTACCTAAACCCACTGGGAAAACCTACGTAGTAAGTTTTATAGGACCTCTAGCCTCCTCTTTGGCCACCAACGTACATTAAGGATGGCACCCAACATTTGCCAAAACAACATCATGTGCAACAGAGAAGTTGAAGGGAGCAGTCTGCCACTTTTTGGGGAGATGGAGGTATCATTGAACTTATAACTTAAGTTTTTTAATACTAGAGACAAACGGTGGCAATCACCCAAAAACCGAAGTTTTTAGATATTTTGAATGCAGTGATTTTTAATGTATCATCATTTTGGGAGGAGTTTCGGGAGTTGCAAAGCAGGTCGTCAAAATCAGCGCATTTTCAATGTGCTCACGATTTCTCCAGAAGTATTAAACCCCTCTCCGATCGTTTTTCCCTCTTAAAGAGCATAAATTTGCGCACAAAATGAACCTCTTACTTTGAACGGCACTCAGGATTATTCTCTTTGGGGGTTTGAAGTGGCGCTTAGGATTATTCTCTTAGGAGGCTTCGGTGTAATAGCTTCAATTTTATTTGTTATTGCAGTCCCGTGGTCTTCACCGTCACCACCTATACCGCCACAGCTCGATCGCAACATGACAAAAACGGCGTGGTTGGGCGTACTGCTTGCGCTTACCACCGCCCTGCCCGGGTCGTTTTCCTGCCTGGAGGTCGAGCGGGACTGCACCCTTGACATGCACTGCTGCCAGGGGATGACCTGCAAGAAGGATGCCGGCTCCGTGTACGGAAAGTGCCGTTCTGGTGCAAGTGGTTCTGACAGTGAGAAGTACGTCGCGGAGTTTTGGCAGCACAGTGGCCCCGGTGGCAACGGGCTTGTGGTCACGGCCAATGCCCATAATCTTGGCCAATGCCAGGGCTTCTCTGGACACTTCGAGTATCTCAACGGCGAGGTGTCAGGACTCAAATGGTCTGACAACGTCGTCCTGGTGGTCTACGACGCGGTCAACTGCGGTGGCAGCAGCTTGGTTGTATACTCTTCGGGCCCGCACAAGATGAGGAAAAGTGACGGGATGACGGAGGACAGCGCCTTCCTGGCAGGCGTCGTGGCCAACCTGGAGACTGTGTGCCTGAGGGACCGTTGCGGATACACCAGCACTTCAAACAGCGTATCCTACAACGTTGATGGCAGCGTGGGCTTTAACGTTGGGTTTTTCTCAGCCGGCGTCGGTGGCGGCCGCGGCGAGTCGTGGGGAAAGGACACGGCGTGGGACCGGTGCGAGTGCACCAGGACCTGGAACGATGACATCAGGTCCTTCCGGATGTTCCGCAGAAATATAGGGACGAGCAAGGATGTTCGTCGCCGTCGAAGGGAGATTCCTCGTAAAAATCTTTCCCCGGCTGAGCAATAACGAAGCAAACATCCAACCTAACACATTATCAACACACTCTATATCGGAATACTTAATCTCGGGGATGCGATACAACGGAAACGCGACGGCCGAGCGGGTAGGTTAAAGTGAACACATTTGTTTTTTTATTGCGAACCGGCCGTTCAAACCGCCGCTCAGTGGTCTTCACTGCAGATTTGCTTGTTTTATAAAACTTTGCTATGCAAGAATCGTTTCGGAAAGTATATAATAAGTTACCTCAGGTAACAATGCTATGGAATATAACAAGATCTCCCCTGTTTGGCGTCTTTTATTTTGTAAACGAACCGAACTTTGCGATCGCTGAGGGGATCCTGCAATCGATTGTAATTTTACAAATTTTGGTGGCAACTTTTTACGCAATTCAATGTTTGTTAAATTACAAACTAAAACGATTGTAAAAAAAATTGCAAACGCGTTTTGAAATTTCAGAATCTGCGATCTGAAAATTAAAAACGTTAATGTTAATTTTCAAAGCATCAAGGTTTATATGATTAAAGGCATTTGCCATGAACATGGAGTAGGTGAACCCCAAACGGTCTAGGGTTCAGCTGGTTGGGCTGAGGGAGTGCCCGATACCTCTGAGGGTAAAGTCACAACAAAAATACGGGAGCGCGTCACAGGCACCCCCTACTGAACGGGTGCGAACGGCGCCGCACCGAACGAAGGAGAGGTAGCGGGGACCGGCGCTGGAATTGGACCAATTATTTGGGGCACTTGCGTGACTTTTTGCTCATAAACAAATGCGTAGCCAGCAACAGCCTTGTGTTACAGATCATATCGCACGAAAATACATTTCAGTTTCTTGTGCACATTTTAGTTAAATACTAATAATTGCTCTTGGAAGAGACGCGCTGACCACAACGCCATCTGGCGGCAGTTCTTTGAAGTACAGTCGGTGTTTCGTCGTATGAAAGTCCAAAGTCACAACGGGCCTATAGGTGTGGAGGTTCGTTGTACTGTAGTAAATCTGATGGAGGACTTGTGCAAGGTCTGTTTTATTTGGTTTTACTTCGGAAAATTACAATCAAATCTCACATTTCCGATAGAGTGATCACAATTTTACAATCGCAAATTGTAAAATTACAAATGTTTCCTAATTTTCAGAAGACAGATTTGAATTTTCAGAAAACCGTTATGAATTTTAATAACGAATTGCAAAATTGACAATGTTATGAAATTTCCCAACCACGTTTGCAATTTTACAACTGATTCTGATGTGAAATTTCACAACTTTTTTAACAGGGAAGGGATCCTGTCGCACAGGTTCAATGTTTTCAGTATTTCAGATGACGAAATAATTCCGCCGGCAACTCCGTTTGGCGGAAGGGCGGGCCTGACCATTTCCTTCACGCGATTTGCTGAAGAACCCAAAGGGTTGTACCTTGACGAGTTACCCTTTAGGAGAATATTTGAACTTTGGATACCCCTACTCACATCCCTAGGGGTGGTTGTCAGGATTTGCCGTCGGCGTTTCGTTCTCTAAGAGTCAACCTTCAGATACCCTGAAAATTTCAAGTCTCTAGCACATCTCCTCCTAGTGGAACAGACAGACACACATACATACAGACACGAGGTCGTTTGCATAATCCCGCTGGATAGCTTTTTCAAAGCAGAAGGGCGGGCTAAAAATAACGATCAAAGAGCCCATCTTTTGGCCTCTAACCCTAGCTCATGTTTATCAACATTTTATAAATTTCCATACTTTTATTTCCTCAAGGGGGTGCAGCATCCTGAGACATATTCCATAAACTTTCATATTTTTGAATCATCATTTGTGTACTCACTGCGTCTTATCTCAAACTTTCTAGAACAATGAGCACTGTAGCAGTTGTTAGCCGTCTCTCGGCCAGCCATAGCTCAGCCCTACATCCTACGTCAATTCTCGCATTGACTGAGCATCGTCTCGAGAAGAGCTTTAATGTTTGCCCCCAGGATGTCTAAGAGATCGTTATGGAGACAATGAGCAGACAGTAATAAAGATAATACGCTCTACCTCTTAAACGTCTCCCAGTTGGCTCCATATACGAAGGAGTACGTGCAGCAGCCCGTAGTGGCTAAAGCAATAGTCGCCAGTGTAGTAATTTTTTTTAGATTTAACGTTTAAAAGAACACAGTATAGATGGAAGGCCGGGGCAGCGGGAGGGAAAACGTGAGTGTGAGGAGAGGGGGGGATGAGAGGGGGTAGGGGTTGGGGGGGGTGAGGGGGGCACTCGAATATTTGAAAATGACCAAAAGTAAAAATGACACTCAAAATCGAAATGGGCAAGTTATTCGCATATTCCATTCTGTATTTTTAGCCCGCCCTTCTGCTTTGAAAAAGCTATCCAGCGGGCTTATCCAAACGACCTCGTGTGTGTCTGTGTGTCTGTCTGTTCCACAAGAAGGAGATGTGCTAGAGACTTCAAATTTTTAGGGCATCTCAAGGTTCACTCCCACAAAACAAAACACCTACGGCAAATCCTGTCAGCCACCCCTAAGGGGCTGAAGAGGGGTATCGAAGTAAAGAGCAAAGGCCAAAAAAGTTGGAAAAAATATTTTTTTCTATGATCTCCTAGGGGGTAACTTGAGAAAGTAGAGCCCTTCGGGCGAAAATTTCGTCCGTTTTGCTCTATCTCTCACCGTTTGGGCTTTAGAGTGAGTTTCTCTCACAAAAGTGGCCCAAAAATAAATTTATTAATTTTCGAATATATTGGATGGTCTTCTAAGGGGTAACTCGTCAAAGTAGAGTCCTTGGGGCGAAAACTTCGTCCGTTTTGCTTTATCTCTAACCGTTTACGCGCTAGAGGGTCTTTTTAGACGAAAATAAGCCCAAAATTGCCATAGTGAACAATAAGATGTAGATTAAGGCCTAAAAACCGCAAAATAGAAAGGAAACTTTCCCCCACCCCCAAAAAAGGTATTCTAAGCAGAAGGGTGGGTTGTAGTCGCGGTGGTTCACCGTTACACCCCTTTCTTGAGTTTTTGGGGCAAACTCAAAGATGACGGGTTTAAGCGGGCCGAAGGGCCGCTACATCATTCGGTCATGTTCCTCAGCAAATCGCGTGACA